CCTCACATATTTTTGCAAACAAGACTGCACAGATGTTTTTTCCTACTAGGCTGTCCTGAAAGGGTCATGGTCTGGGTAACAATAGGTCTGAGAACCTTTTTTTTTTTTTTTTTTTTTTTTTTTTTTTTTTTTAACATGCAGTGTTACACACTGTTTAATGTTTTTCTATCACCCATGTGAAGTCACTAAGAACATTCAAGTTACAGGAACATGTCTGCCACTTAAACCTGCACCATCTTTATTTCAAGCATAAGTTTCCCTATTGTCCCCTTTTCAGAATGAATACTTGAGATGAGTGGCAGAAGCTCAGTGTGTTAGAAATAAGTATGATGCTAAGAAAGTGTTGACGAAATTACCAGAGTAACAGCAAGTTGTTTGAAATCTTTTCATTAAAAGCTACCGTTAGGCTGTCATCAACATGGTCCCCAGCCTTACTGTCCTTCTGAGATTCATTGCTTCTAGTTGGTATTTGAATGCTAGAAGTTTCATCCCACAGACTGTTGGATTGGATATGACCTTGCTGACTCCTGGGCTTGATTAATGGAAAGCATTTCATTTGGAATGAAACATAAAAATTAGCTTCTTAAACTACATACATTGCTAGAAGTGCATCACAGTTTTTCAATTTGTCTTTTCTTCTCTAGAAGAGAAAGCAAAATGTTTAGAAGCAAAATGTTGTATCCAAAATTATTTTCTCAACAGTGTAAAACCTCTGAAGTTCTCCTTTTCTGTAGTGAATATTAGGCATTTCTGTGCAGCTTACACTAGATATTTGTCCAAAGGAGCAGCGCAGCTCATTGGGGGTTAGTGCTTCATCACTTGGAGAGGCTTAAGAGTAGATAGGATTGACAGCTTGCCTCATAACTTTCTTAAGCTTTCCATTTTACATAAATTGTTGCTTTGGTTTTCTTTCACTACTGTTTGTGGAGTTTGATTCTTTATGGATGTATTCTGCAGAGTAGTAGGGCAATCACCTTAAACACCATCATGAGGAAGCCAGTTCTGTGCATTAGAAAATGGCACAGCCTCCTTTGACAAGTAATACATTTGGTTTTTTGTAAATCAACATGCAAAACAACTTTAGAAAGCAGTCACTTCAGCAGTGTGCCTCCAGCTGAACATCCAGGCATGACACTGAACTGTGGCAGTCAGGACTACATCACCATTTAGTAGGTACTGGAGGGTGTTGTGGATTTTGCTCTTTTATAGCTGGTTCAGCCACTCCAGCCTATGTTGATAACTTCAATTTATACTATCAGAAAATGAAGCTACTATAGGAAAGATATGTCCTGGCAAAAGAAGGCTGCTTTATTTCTTGGTCAGATGTTTTCTGTGCCTTGGGGCTTCATTTCTCCTAGCAGGCATAAGGCAGTTCAACACAGCTCCTAATTTTCTCTTTCCTCCTCTTTGATTTATACAGTCAACCTGTCACTATAAAGTGTAAGTGCTTTCCTGTGTAAGATTGATAGCAGTAATGAGGTAGTTACTTTGTGCAAACTTTGGCCCAGGATTATTTGGGTAGTGTGACTATTAATATTAAAAATGTAATTCTTACAGTGGAAAGGTTTTTTTTAACACAGACAATTTTGTGCTATTTCTGAAGATGTCAGACCCTGCATTCACTTTATTGAAGTTGTATCCCAATAAGTGGTGTTTTCTTTCCAACTCATACCGGTTTTCATGAGTTACTGTAGAGTGCAGTTGCTGCTTAGATCTTTAATAACATCTGTCATTATAGAAATTCAGGTTGTTGTTTAATTTGTTGATTACTTTGAAAATTAGGCTTAAAAGCTCCAATAAATGTCTAAGTTTTTCTGAAATGGTAGAAAGCCTTGTGAATGGACCCTGACATGTTTTTGGAAGTCTAAGCAAATGAGAAGATAAAGAATTGCACTTTGAAACAGCAGCATTCTGTGGTAGTTCTTAATACCTTAATTAGGAAGCAGTGGATTACTCCTATAATAGGAACAAATCTGATGATTAATAACATATTGGTCTTACAAGTCCTCAAGTTTAGTTATTTCTGCTCTTTGCAAACTTCTTCTACCATTGTCACCATTCCTACCATCAGTGGTAGATGATGATAGACCTTGCTCTTCAACTTATTCTCCATCTCTCAACACTTCTTCTTCTGTCTTCGTTTAGCTCTCAGTGGTTGTTTTCCACCCATGATCTCTGGCAGGCTTCTAGTAGGTGTAGGAGACATCTTGTCAATAAGAGCAGGTCATTGCTTTTGGTCTTCTGTATTTATTTTTTTCCCCTCAATCTTGAACAATGAGCTCAGTCTGTCTTAGCTGTTTAAAATGTTCTGAAAGCCTCCTTTTTCAGACAGCAACAAGATTATTTAGGTGATACAGACAGTTCTCAAACTGCTGGCAGCAAATGAATACCACACTCTGTCCACCAGTCAAGAAGGCAAAATGGACTTTCACCACATGAGCATTGCAGAGTCTGTCATGTGTAATACCGTATGGGTTTGGTTCTCTTTGACTGGTAGGCTGTCTGGAGAGTAGGAGATGCAGTTTCACCTTGGTACTCTTGAGCCCCTAGCTCACTGGGGATGGAGTAAGTGATACTGGTTTTATTTCATGACCTCTGTCCATGAAGTAGAATGCATGGTGTAACGTTACTCCTTCTTTGTACGGCTCTGCTGTTCTGATTGGTTGAAATAGTTTTGACATGGATGTTTTTTGTTTCAGAATATATTGGGAAAATGGGAGTGGAAAAATATCTTCCTGTTCCAAAAAAACGATGTCATCTATTTACCTATCAAAACTCATCTTTTCTGATTAATGCTTTTCTAGCTTGCTCTTAACAGCTTCCAGAGATGCTTTGGAGTCCTGTGCAGAGCTGAAAGTCTACATTGGCTGTTTTAGGGCTAATGTGTTGTTTGCCTTCTGGGAGTGATGGGGTGGTGGTGTGTGTGTGTGTGTGTTCGTTCAGGTTTTGGGGTTTTTGGGGGGCAACATGGTAAGTCTGAATATGCTTACGTTGTTTGTGCTGCCTTGATGAGAAGCTAGTGTTTAAGCCCAGATCCGGTTGAATTGAAAACATTTCATTTCTGTGTCTTGCTGGTATTCCACAGTCAACAGGATGTTAGCAGAGTTGAGACAAGCTTATATTCAGCTCTTTATACAATTAAGCTATTTTAAATACACTTCTTTTCTCGTTGCTTTTTGTTGCTTTTGTAATTATTTTTTCCTCCCTGCCTTAAGCATTTACCCTTGGAAAATACTTACTCCTCAAATTTACCAGTACTAATTTTCCACTTTCTTTTTGAAATATAAAAGCAAGGTCATCTCATATCTTTAGATAATGTTAGCTAAAATGTGGCAGTGAACAGCTATGCAAAAGACAAGAACTAATGATCATTGTTAGTGAAGACTGGATAAAAAGAAATCCATCATAGCTTGAGATCCTTGACAGCAGAATTGACATCTAGCCTGCAGTTATCTGTCCTGTATTTTTGCAGTTGTTTTTTTCTATCCAAGTATAGAATTTTTCTTTTTTTTTGGCAGACTGCTTCTCCAATTTGCCATCACTGGTTACTCTAATGAAACAAATACAAGACTTTATACATTTCAGAGCTGCTATTTCATTGTCTCTGCAAACTCTGCCATCACTGCACTGATTTGCACAAACCTTACGTTTTTCAGAGAAACCTTGATGGCCAGGAGTTAACACTGTTTGTTTGTTTTTAAATGACAGCTTATATTATGAAGTACAAATTGGCCTGAAAAAAGGGATCATTGATCTGATGCCCTTGGTACTGTTCAAAATTTTGCAAATATGTGAAGAGGCAGCATAAAGATATTTTGAGGTGTTCCCAGAGGGCAGTAGTCAGAGACGGCTACAGAAAAACTGTCTGTTAAGGAGTTGGGAAATTAAACACAGGACAGTAAGAGACCTCTCTCTCCTTTTATAGTTAGAACAGAAATACTTGAATCCTACGGTGCTGAAGTCTTACTCTTTCATAGAACATCACATCATAACTTTTATTCTTACCTGATACCTGAAGTTGTATAAATAATATTAGCAGCAAACTTAAAGAGCACTAAGGAGAAACTGCCCTCTTTTCCTTTTTCATAATTGAAAAAAATGGAGAAAAATTGTTTTAAGGAGTATTAAAAATAGAGAATGGGCTCTGAGTAACTTTGTGCTCTACTGTAATGCTTTGATTTTTGACAAAATAGTTGTGGATAAGATGGACAGGGAAGTGCTTTTAATGTTTTGGGTGGGCTTTTTCCATTAAAAACAGTTTTATCTGGAAAAGAGAACTTCAGATAGATAACTGTGTTTATGTAAGCTGCTACAAGAGAATCATTTGAGTAAGAGAATCATTGGGCCAAAATAGTGCTCATTGGTATAGAATTCTGTTCTGGTGTATGTCACTTACATTGTGTTTGAATCGCAGATGCTCACACACAGAGCATTGTATGTGCAAGTAGTATAGACTGAAGTTGATACTAGTGTTGTCTTAATTGTTTCTTCAAAAAAAATTCCACATCTGTGATTTTTTTGTTTGTTTGGTTGGGGTTTTTTTGGTAGGATGTGACTGTGAAAATGCAGTAGGCTATATCTCATGTTCACTGAAAGGGAAATAACTTCCAATATATCTGACTTTTATGAGAAAGCATTGGTTCTCTTGATTTGTCTGCTTAGATGGTGGAGGAATAAATTTGCAGCATAGTTTATGTAAATAACCATAAAGACAGACACATAAGTCTTCTCAAGACTAAACTTTAAATTTTATACAAGAATCTTTAAGAGAAATTGAGTTTTACTTAATAGACAAAATTCACAGGTTTTAAATATTTCCAGATGAAAACTTTCTGTAATTTTCCCTTTTTGTAATTGAAAATCTGGCTGAATACTAGCAATGGTACCTTTTGGGTTGAATTACTTGGAGTCAAAGTTTGATAATTTGTTTAAATATTGCAGGCCTATTTATAAATTTACATTAATTTGGACAATGACTTCTGATGTTGTTTTCTTTGTAGTTATTTGAACTGCTAGGCCCTGAAGGTTTTGAGCTCATAGAGAAACTCCTACAGAACAGATCTCTGATTCTGGAAAGATCTTTGACTTGTTCAAATGATAACAGGTTCCAGACTCTGCAAGGTAAGCAACTACAAAATTTTTATTCCAAACCAGATAAAAAGTAGTTTTCTAACTGTTCAGTTATATTTAAAACATCAGTACTGTCTGTGTGTATTTAAAAAGCAAGCCAAAAAGAAAAAGGGGGTGTGTGTGTATATTTATATGGGCTTAAACAAAGAAATCATGGTCTAGTTATACAGAGGAAACAAATACATATTGTATATATTTATTTACTTTTCAACTGCCTATGGGCATGTGTAATTTTTAAATGTATTAACTATTGCACTGTGTCTGTTTTAATGGATTACTCTGGAGATAAGTTGATCTTTGGTTATCCCGCAGCTGCTTTCCTGCTTACTCTCTACTCCTGTGTTCTCATCAAATATAGGTCTTGCAGAGAAAAAGCACAGTAACAACTACTTCTAAAAACAATAAAGTGAAGCTTAAAGATGGATAAGAGGAAAAAAGGGGGTTCAAGTTTTATACTGTGATTTTTGTTTTTATAAGATAAATTGCCTGCACAGAGTAATTCTTACAAAATCTGTTTTACAAGTTGTTGTTTAAAAACAAGTCTTCTCACTTTCTCCTCTGACAAAAAGAAATCTGACTGTGAGTAGGGTGTGACTTGGGATAAATCTTATATAGACATAGCACCATGCAGCCCATTGCATATTCACAGCATGCAGTTAGAAAAATGTGAATAAAAATAGTAATGGTGGACTTATGTATCCTCACAATAATTTTAAAATGCAAGTAACCCCTTTGTAGTAGGTTTATCTTAAATGGAATGTTATATAAGCAAGTCTTTAGAAGTTCACCTCTTACTGTGCTCATGGTTAGTCTAAACTCATCAGAACAACCGTTAGTTTTATCTGTTCATGATTTCAAAGCAGAATGTCTTGCTATCAGTGTAACAAGGTTTTGTGTCTGGGTGTTTTTTCCCTTCCAAAATAATCAAATAATAAAAAATTTAAAATGCGTTCAATAGAAACTGAACTATTATAGTTTTTCTCCTATGTGCAGATTCTAGTTACACAAATATTTTCTTCTCCCTTAGCAGTAGTATTTTGGAAGCTTTTATGAACTTATTCTTCATTATGCCATCAATAAAATCAATCACAGTAATTTCTTTCAGAATACGGAGGAAGAATATTTTCAATGTTGTGCTTTTGAGACAATAGGAAAACATTACTGATTGTATGCTTTTTTCACTGATGAGAGAACCTTTCTTTCACTGTGGTAAAGTCAATGATATTAGAGTATCTTCTCTGAGATTTGAAGATGCTCTGCCCCAAGTTCTCTCTGAGCAACCTGCTCTAGATAAAGCTGTCCCTTCTCACTGCACGGTGGTTGGGCTAGATGATCTCTAAAGGTCCCTCCCAACCCAAAGCATTCTATGATTCTATGAAGTTCAGGTTATTAATTTTAGTAAGGCTTTTTTCTTTTAAGTTGCTCAAAATGCTATTTCTAATGGGGATTGAAGTTTTATCTTTCCAGAATTGCATTTGGTGAAGGGAATAATTTGTCTGCAGAAATTTAGTCAACTTTGAGTAATCTGTGTCTTGGGAAAATAAGCACAAGTCAAGGAACTATACGTGTACTGCATTTTTGTAGCATGCTGTATTATTTGACTATTTCTTATGTAATTTACTTCCACGGCAGTAAAGGTGATTGTTGTGCTTATCAGACAAATCAAGTAACAGTTCTTTGCCCTGGTGTATTCAGTCTGAATTAAATTTAGTTAGGAAATTGCATCCATTGTTGTCTGCTTTTAATACAAGAGAGAGTGAGTTAAAGCTACAGACATGATGGTATTAGTGTGGACATTTTGACAGTTTATTAGAATTTTTTCAATGCTATTTAACAAGTTATAGTTGCCTTATCCAGTATGCATGCTGTAAGAGGTAGGAGTTTCACTGTTACTGTAGGTGAAAACTAAGTGGCACAAATTGTTCAAAACATCAGTCAAGTGGGTTTATTTGATGAAAAAAAGTTTTCAAGTGTTCGGCTTCAGAGTTTGACTGCAGAAGTACATATGAAACATAATTGAATTAAGTATATAATACTCAGTGAAACCTACATAAACTAATAATCTGCAGAATTTTGAAAACAGAAGTTTAAAAACACTGATACAGTTAAAAACAAAACAAATCTCTCCACACCATTGCATATAAAAACTTGGTTGTGTCTTTGGTTTTGGCCAGTAATGGCCTCCGAAGTTTGAATGTGACTGGGCTTTTTTGGGTTCCCTGCTCCCCTAGATTAATTGTTTACTCTAATTGTTCTGGGGTTCTGATTTTTCTTGATTCAGTCCTGCTGCTTTCTACATAAAGGGAGGGAGTTCCTGTGGTTGTATAGAATAGGATTTCATTTTTCACTTGTTTAGGGAAATTACATTGTGAGTATGCTTTCAATACAATCGTGTTATCTAGTAAATATACACTAATTGTTTTGTGAAGAGGCTGTTTAAAAAAGCCAGCCTGTTCAATCTGTTTTCACACCGTTCTACTTATCAGTGCATACATGTAAGAGGAGAGGTAAGTGGCATTTCCACTGCTGATGAAATTATAAACACAGAAAAGAAAAAAAGCCCTTCCTTTTGCTGCTAGCCCATCCCCTTGCTTTGGGATGAAGAATTTTTGTTTGCTTAACAATGGTAACTTTAAATGTCCTACCTTTGGGATATGATCTGGTACTTCTTTTAGATTTCTTGAGACCAACTGCCGCATGGTCATCTAAATAAAGCTAAACTATCTTTAAACACACACACACCCTGCCCCCAAAAAGAAAACAAACCTCAAAAAACAAACCTTTAGAAGAAAATTGGGGAAAACAAAGATGGAATCCAGTACTTATTGAGATGCACACCTGTTGTTATGTTGCAGAACAGTGCAAGAAGTTTATAGGAGAAAATGCTAAGCCCAATTACGGTTGTCAAGTTACAATTCAGTCTGAACAAGAAAAGCTGTTAATGAAACAATATCGTCGGGAGGAAAAGCGAAATGCCAGAAAAGAAAAACAAGCTGGGGAAGATGGAGAAGTTTCAGGAGAAATGTGCTTTGATCCCAAAGAGCTGCGGATGCAAAGGTAATAAATGCCAGAGGTTGAGAAATGCTTCTGTTGTAATTGCTACTTCAACGTATCATAAGTTTATTTCCTTTTAGTTTGCTTTGGTGGTTAGGTGATTCTGACTTCAAGTCACGTTTTATTACAAGTGTAGAATTTTTTTTAATATGAAACCCTAATTTTCAGGGAAAGAAAGCAGTGATCTGCTTAGTGAGAATCTTCTTGATCTCTTCTATGTGGGCTGGAGATGCACATTAGAGGGGTAGGCTATCTTTCTTAGTTCCTGTACGCACACTACTTGCTTAAGATTTATGAAGTCTGTACTAAATCTATCAGAACTATCTTTCTTTTTTTCCTCGCAAGATTAATGGATACTATTTGCCATGTTGTCAGCTAAAGGCAGTGGGTGGAGTATGGGAGGGAGAGGATAAGGAGCAAATAAGCTGTTGTATTTTGTACTGAGAAAAATATAGTAGGATTGCTATTTAACTGTGAATATATGTTGCTGTATTGCTTAAAAAGAGGCAAAACTGCATTTAGGAAAGCCTTGCACTTACTGGATTGCACTTTTGATTTTTATCTAAACAATGTGTTATAAGGACTTGGTTTAACTGATGTCAGAGTAACACTGTAAAATTCCTTTGTTAATTATTTTATGCAACCGTTGTTTCCTTACATTTCCACAACTCTTGCTCTGACTTGCATTCAGTTTTTGTGATGACTGCCTAAAATGGGTAGAATTATTGCAGTTAATTTTCTGCTCACAGGGAACTAGCACTTCTGAATGCTCGAAGTATGCCAGTTCTAGGTAGACAGAGAGAGATGGACTTCGAAAGAATTCATTATCCGCATGTTTATGATTCCCGAGCTGAAGCTATGAAAACATCGGCATTCATTGGGGGTGCAAAGGTACGTGTTGGTGCATGGCCATTCTTGAACAGTACATCTTTCCCAGTAAATAATGTGCAGCACGGTTCTCTTTGTTCCCTTAGAGATTCTCCTCCTTATCAGAGTCCAATGTATGAAGCAGTAATTCTTTGCAGAGGGTTTTAAACACTTTCATATATTCTGTTTTTATTTTGACTCTAGAAGAAATAATCTCATTCTCAACTAATGTGTTTTTTTTTTATTTCTAGGGTCACTTAAATCATTAAAATACTATTTTTCTCTTCCTGTGTTTTGGAAACTATTGAATTGACTTTAACAAAATGAATGCTTTATGAAATTCTAGACTTAAGGGCTTTTGAAATTTAATAAAATAGAGTTACCTTTTTGTCTTTTTGGGACTATTTTCTGAGTAGCAAAACTGATTATTTTCCATTTTGGGGGTTCAGTGCTACCTATAAGATGAATCTGTGAGAATTGCTTTTATTTTGGATTTATTTTTTGAAGGGAAGTGATAAACCATTGTTCAAAGTGTATTATACGTAATGACACTTTCTGTTTTCATACTTGCAATTAATTTTCCTGTAATACTGTCTTAGGTGTTCTTACCAGAGGCCGTTCAGAGAGAAAACAATAAAATGTATGAAGAGGTGAAGATCCCCCATAGTGAACCAATGCCTATTGGTATTGAAGAGAAAATTGTTTATATTAAAGACTTAGATGAGGTGCGTAAACCATTTCAAATACATGAAATTAGTTTTTACTTTGTATTACAAAAATTTAACTGAAAAAGATTACCAGTTAATAAATACTGTGATATGTGATGAGTAAATGCAGCCAGTTAGTTTCTTCGCTACTAATTTTGAGAATATTTGTTGAGGGATGTAGTTAAGTGATATAATCCCTTTCTTGATGACTCATGACTTTCATGATTCAAGAAATTCCTCATAAACTACTTGTTCATAAGTTGCAATGCTCGATTCCTTTGTCATTACCTGTTCAGCTATTTATGGTTTTGAGCTGTGATCTGAATCACTAAAATGAAAAGATTATGGCAATTCTGTTCTCTTTCTAGAGACCACATGGAAAAGTGAGCCCGGGCTTCTGTATCTTGACTTGTACAGGTTCACTTGTAACTGCGCAGCACTACTTGCAGTCCATCAGCCAAGTCTTATAGTACGATGCGGTTGTGGGGGTATTGAGTTACAATGTTACACACTGTATGGGGTGCAAAACCTTCTGCATTAGTGCTTCTTTACGCAGAAGGTGGCAAATCACTATTAGAAAAACTTTGATGATAGAAAAGAGAGGGCAGAGGGGAAAAATGCAAGTAAAACAAATACTAACATTTTAACTTTTACTGATTTAAAATGGTGAAAAAGCTGAGGTATGGGAACTAAATTTGTTGTTAGTATTTACCATCTAGAACTTGCAGTACTCCATTACGGGTATCTTCTCACTCCTCATTGTATATGTCAAATTTGTTGATGAATGATGAAGATTTGCTATTGATTTGAAAAGGGACATAAAGAGCAAACCGTATGTACATATGAAGAAGGTTTTCAGTTTCTTAGTTCTTCAGCAGCATACAACATGGAAAAATGTTTCCCACTTTTTTTTCCTGTGGGAAAACAGGAAATGAGAATATAAGTCTAATAAATCTAAGTTACCCAGAGCACTTTATTGGGGTTCTGAGTAAAGATTATGTCTTACGTAAGGATTTAACTCTCTCAAAACAGAAGACAGTTTGATTTTTAGAATCTGAATCTATTCTTTTCTTCTTGGGTGGCAGTACCTAATGTCACGTTTATGAAGTGACTGACAGCTTAAGTAGATAGAAAAGTTGAGCCACTGCAGCTATAAGATGTGACATTTTATATGACAATTTTCAGCATGAGAGTTTTTTTGCAAGGAAATGTCTTTCTGCTAAGCTAAATACTACCTACTAATCTGTAAACTTTTTGCAAGAAGTACCAATGTTCCAATAGACAATAACTTGTTCCAGAAAAAATACAGTTCAGACAGAAAAATATCGAAAAGAAATGTTTTGCAGATTTTTACACGTATCGTGTTTGAAATAAATGTTACAAAACACACGTTATACAAATTGCACAAATAATTAATCTCCTTTGTAGATTGTGTATTATCAAGTGGTATACTTTTCAGTTTTACAGTGAAATTCTGAAATAGAAACAATCTTCAGAACTTCACTCTTCCATATGTTTCCCATTACAGGACATCAGATAGGAGTGTCAACAGCAAATACAATTTGGAATGTTTGAACATCTATGTGTTTAATTCCCACCCCCCGCTTTAATACTGGTTTGCAACAAAAGACGAGAAATTTATGAATAGTTTGTCCAACTGCAGGACTTGTCAGATTCCTGTTTCCATTAGTGAGACTTTGAGTCTTGTTGAATAGCACCTTTTTCCCAATGAGGTAAAGAGGCTGAAATTGCCAGTGTATGTGTTGTTTAAGATATACCTGGTCAAGACTTAAGTATCTTGTTTAGGACAAAATTTCTTTTTGCTTTCTCTGTGTGGCTGTTTCAGATCTCTAAGCTCATAAAATCTTTGTTGGTGCTTAAAATTTTTGCCAAATAACTTTAGTCAATTTAGAGGGCAAGAAGTTTTTCTGGCAATGTTTTATTCTTTTTGGTGAACTAATGTAAGCAAAAGCAGAAAAATAAAATTTTTTAGCTTTCTCCCTAGTATATGTAGGTGCTTATAAGATAGCTCTCATATCTCTGTATAGATATATTTGCAGGATTGTCTAAAATACAAACAGATGGGCAAGGAGGAGAGGTGACAGTAAATATAACTGTAGATAGTTCATAGCAGCATCTAAAGGCATCATGAGGAAGTTGAGAGTTTTGCTACTGTTGACTGTTATGGGATGCCATTAGTGGTAGGGTTTTGATGTAAGACATTGAGTTGGTCTAAACATATAGATTAAGGTAGTCATTCTGTTTAATGAGTCAATATACATGCAACCTGTAATACTAAAGATCCCCAGGAAAAAAAAGCACAGGACAACCAAACTGTCTATTGTTGCTGTTACAACAGTATTTATCACAGCTCTCCAAGCACTTGCTGTTTTATCCTGATGGTTTTAAAAATCATAAATATTCTTCTTTCTTTGAGTTTATTCGTTTAGTTCTCATCTGTTCTCCATTCCACCAGTCCTATTTCTGTTACACTTCAGTGAGTTTCTTGCCTTGCTGAGAGCCAGCTCTGGCTGTGTTTCCCTGCCTCAGGTACTAACATTTGTTAGTCCCAGTATTCAAAGAAACAAAACTTTGGGTTTTCTAAGGCGTTTCTCCTTGTAAAATTATCTTTTTACATGCAGGAAATAGATCACTTTTCTACTTTCCAAGAATAGTTTTACTGACTTACTTTCAGGCTTAAGCTCTTAAGTTCTTCTTTGCCACAGAGCCACTGCAGGGAGGAGGG